AACAAAGGGGGAGGAACCATTAAGTCCAGGCTCCAATTGATTGTGAGGGACAACAGAGGAGAAAACAGGAACAGGAGCCCAGTCTAAGGTGGAAAATCAAGGAACCGGAGGGGGACACTAAGCAGAGAACCCCCGAGAGCCCCCACCGCTCCTCGAAGGCATCCAGGAGTCAGTGGGCGCTGCCCAGAGGAACTCTGCCCGGAGACGGGAGCAGACAAGGGACCGGAAATAGGCCCCACAGTCACAGAGCAAACCCAGTCCAGCTTTCTGCTCCTGGAGTGATGGATGGTTGTCGGGCCAGCGCCAGGAGGTGGTTGAGGAGGGGATCTTGCGGTTTTGCGGGGCGGCTGGGGTGAGTGCACAGATCAGAGGTGTGATGAGAAATGTAGTGAGAGGTTCTGGAGGAGCCGGAAGAGGGGCTGCAAGGACACAGATGTGTGTCTGGGTCTCTCTATCCCCTCAAAAGGGACAGGCGCTGGGGGAGCTGGTGAACTGCGCCGGATACACACCCCTGCTTATGGGTCCAGGGAGGAGCCGCCAGCTAGTATCCCCGGCTGGCTGTGGGGCCGGACTGCAGTACTGGCTGGTCCCCAGGGATTCCTCACGCTCTCAGGGGGCAGCAGGCCCTGCCACCCGCTCTTGAAACGGGATGAAGGGCGAGGACATGGGTGGGGTGAACATAAGCGGGTACAGAGGTTCTCTGGCGCAGTTTGGAGGCGGAATGACTGGCTGTTCTCCAGCCGACTCAGGGGCAGTTTTTCCTAAGGGAAGAATTCAGGTTAGATACATGGGGTGTTGGGAAGATAAATTCATCCAAAGATTGTGAGATGTGCCCGTACTACAGTGATGGAGTGTGGGGGGGACATAAGTGCCATAGATCGATGTACAGCCTTGTCTTCGCAATCCCCACCCTACCTGGCCTCTCTCATTCGCTATCAAGATGTTGACTCGCCTCCAATCAGCCAATGATGTCAGCCTCCATTTCCCACCAAGCCCTTTTGTGCTTTTTGTCACGCAGCCCCTCACGCCTGGGAGGAGCTCCCTGTCAAAGCCGGCGTGTTGCCCTCTTTCAAATCACCCTCAAAAACTCTCCTGTGCTGGGAAACCTGAAACCAACTTGATACTGGTTGGGTTACTGGTGTGTTGAGACCACAGCCTCTATAGAAATCCATGGTACGCCCACATCTTGAATACTGTGTGCAGATGTGGTCGCCCCATCTAAAAAAAAGATATATTGGAATTGGAAAAGGTTCAGAAAAGAGCAACAAAAATGATTACGGGTCTGGAGCGGCTTCCCTCTGAGGAGAGATTAATAAGAATTTTCAGCTTGGAAAAGAGACAACTAAGGGGGGGATATGATAGAAGTGTATAAAATCATGATGCATGTGGAGAACGTAGATAAGGAAGTGTTATTTACTCCTTCTCATAATACAAGAACTAAGGGTCACCTAATGAAATTAAGAGGCAGCAGGTATAAACAGACAAAAAGAAGTATTTCTTCCCACAACGCACAGTCAACCTGTGGAACTCCTTGCCAGAGGATGTTGTGAAGGTCAAGACACTAATAGGGTTACAAAAAAGAACTAGATAAATCAT